TGTTCTCTCAAGTCTTTCTTAGCTTGGACTTACTAGTTGTAGTTTTTTTGCTTTTGTGCAAAATATGCAGATGGGAAGACTAATTTTGGATTGCTGCCACAGCAAAGACATGCCTGTGTATAGAAATGTCCAGCCAAGTTTTTTTGAGTTTTTCATGCATTGTACTAATCTAATTTAAATTTTTTTAACCTTGTTAAATGGCACTAACTAGTCCCTATCATAGGAATTAATGCACAGATAATGGGCCTTTTACTTTGAGTATCTTGGATTTCTATTCCTTTGTATGTGTTATCAGACAACTTTCTGAAATCAAAACATACCTGCTTATATTACTGATACTAAGCTTTGCACATACAAAGACAATAGTTAGGGAAGCTTTCAATACAGATGCTGCCATGTAAGAAAAGAAGTAACTCTGGTGGAGTTTCAAATCTCTGACTGAAATTGCAGTAGCTGCATATTTATCTATTTATCTCACATTTTGAGAAATCTCACTTTTATATGTCTTGGAAGACAAACAAAAACAAATAGAAAAGTTAGAAAAAATAGTAAGAGATGAAACACACTATAAATTCAAGAAATTAGGGGCTTTTTGTTTAATATTCACTACGCTCTTTTTAAATTTAGGTTCAAGAAAGAAACTCTGTCACTGCATCCAGTGAAGCCACTCATATTCAGATTTCAGAACCCATTAATACTCCAAGTTTAAGAAGTACTGCAATTAAAACCTCATTGCAAACCCATGATTTCACAAAAAAATCCATTGACATCAGAAGGCTTCGTCTTCAGCTCTCATACAAGAAAAGGGCAATAGCTGTCTCAGGTACTGTAGATGCTTTTCTTGACAGTGCTGTCAGATCCTGAAGAGATAGACAAGTGTGGTTAATTTACTTCCTTTGGTATAGGTATGTGAAATTCAGCAGTCCTAAAAATGGTGTATAAGACAAAGCAACCACAAACTAATACTGTAATGCACATAGATAACCCCAAAATAGTAGACAGAGTACAGGTAAGCATTTTGGCTGTTAATTTTGAATCGGCATTACCTGCTAATAAAATTCTAATAATTCTCTTTCTTCAACAAATTGACAAGTACATTGAATCAACAAAAATCTATTTGTTCCTTCATAAATTCAGAGCAGGAAAAAAAAGTCTGAAAGTTTACTTTTGCTTTAGTAGTGGGAAGTTGCGTGATTAAAGACTTCACAGTCAGACATACAAAGGGTAGCTAAATTTAACCAGAAGATTAACTTTTGTAAAAATAAATCCTTACAGCCTGCTCCAAAGACTACTGATGTCAGAAAAAGTCTACAAACTTGCCTATAATTAAGTTGGTTTGTTAAAAAAAGTCTCATTACAGACCTGAATCTGAAAATACTCAGAGCTCTTCATTTCTAGTGAAGTTTACATCTTGTAAAGAATACCTTTACATCTTAATTCCAACTATTAAGGGGAATTCATTATAATTAGGATCCTTTTAATCCAATGTACTGACAAGTGACTTTCTAAATAAAGATACATGAACCTTCCGTAAAATATGCTTCAGAAAAATCCAGTGTTCTGGTTGCAACAAAATTACACATTTTTTGAATGTTCGAATGCAAAAAAATGACTAGTTATGAAAACTGTTTTAAGTAAGATCTATAGAAGGAGATCAATTTGAATAATCTAGTTGCAAGTCAGTGTTTATGTGAAAAGAAGAATCAGAGTGAGTACTTTGTCTGCTCAAGCATAAATCCGATGAATATTTTTCTCAGATACAAAAAGTTGAAACCAACCACTACTTTCTGAGATTTTTCTAATAGTGATTCCTCAATAACCAACCCTTCAATCCCAAAGGAATAACTATCAGCTTATAAATATACTTAACTCATATTAATTTGTTTAGTTTCCTCTTAGGATTTTGGAAAACTATTTATATTTCTTGTTTTACATATGTGACTGTAGCTACCAATTTATGACTAAACAAGATCACAAATTAGCCATCCCACAACAACAGAATTGATATCACTTTAAAAATAATATTAAAAGTTACAAATAATGTGATTCATGTAAACTGCAATTTAAAACTATTTCACTTTTTCTATGCTAAATATAAATTACCTCCTGATCTCAGGTTTTGAGACATTACTGCAATTACTTACTGATATCTGCTTCAATTAGTGTTGAAGGAAATTTTATTTCTCAGCTGATACAGACTGTATGTGTTTCTGTAGGTGGCACAAAAAAAAAAAAAAAAATCCCCAGTGAAACAAATATCCAGGCATTCCAGTCATTCCAGTCAAAAAAGAAAAGGGTGGGCAAATGTTCCAGTAACCAAGTTAGCTATGATCCAGTATCAGAATGGGCTTTACAAAGAAGCTGTGTTGACCTCATCAGGAAGTTTAATACCAGAGTGCTTCACAGTTTCTAGGGCATTTTTAAAGCAATCACAGTACTTGACTTGCTTACAAGACTTTTTCAAGTACTGCAGAAATGTTCACCTCCACACCTCAGGTCACAGAGTTGGACTTTTTGATGGTCTAGACAGACCCATGATATAAAAAACTTGGTATAAATGGGCAACCTGTGAGGAGAGGACAGTAGTTAAATGGACATAGGCACCTAATGCTAAGTGAAGGACTTGACTTTCTAGGGATCCTGAGGGTGGTCTGCAGGCATTAGGAAACCTAAATTAATTAACAAATAAAACTGGTGGTATGGAAAAAATGACAACATGAATGACTGATAGATGAGCAAGAATACTAGTCTCAAATATGCTTTCTCCAGTTTCATGAAAAATAGTAACTTAATCAGGCAGAAAAAAAAATGGCTAGGATCCCACTGTGTGGAAACATTGTCTAATATCACACATTGGGCAACAACCTGCTGTTTGTAACACTAGTAAGATTCAGAGGAAGATTAGAAAGACAGAAACCTCATTCCTTCAGTGTTGCATTTTCCCTAACTTCAACCTTTCCATTTTACTCAGTCTTAGTCACTGATTGTTCTGGGCAAACCCTTAAATGGAGAATGTTTTCAAAGCCACAGTGAGAAAGATCAGAGGGGATGAGCAGCCTGCAAATATGATGAATAAGAGAACCCAAAATGGATCACCTCTGTAGAAGGCTGCCCTAACTAGCTCCAAACCAGACCATCATGCACAGCCTGCTTGTAGAAAGACACCAGTTACTGTTCCAGTTGGGGACTCAGTCCAGCAGATGCTCCCCACCAGCCTGCTGCTGGCCAGCAATAACAAGCACCCACTTTGCTATTGGATGGATTCTCAAGTAAGACGACTTTGATGCCTTTGATGCATACCTCCCAGTGTTCCTCAGTATTCTCTAGAAAGAACTTTACAGTTAACTTCTGATTTCCCAATGATTTTAATCCTCTAGGTTATTTGAGTGACTGCAGGGAAATAAAGTCCACAGGGCGGCACACTTTTCTCCTAAGATGGAGAGCAGAGCAAGCAAGCTTGGTTTGCTGAGCAGCTGGTGCCAGGCACAGGTCGCTGCCAATAGCCAACCTGTCCACAGGGAGAACTTTGACACTCAGGGTGGCACCACTGATTTCAGGGTGGTGAGAGTGCTTTTAAGACAAGTGCTACCACTAATAATTCGACAGCAGTGTAAATCAGCATTCACAGTCCATCACAGCCACAATGCAGGACTGCATTTTGTTGGTTTTCGATTATTAAATGTGAACCATTTGAAGAAATATGCACTTAAACTACAACACAAAAAATGACAGAACGTCAAAATGTGGTGACAGATATCCACCTGGCCAGTAACATAACCTGGGGAGGCTGGCAGAGGTTGGAAGGTGCCTTGAATCTACTGGAGTAGGGTAAAAAACTCCAAACCCCGGGCTGATCATCTTTGACAAGAATTACTTTGGAAATATCCTCACCACCAAACTTCTGGTGAAGGACAACTTTTGTGCATTTTTCTCAGTTCCTTTGCAAGGATTCATGAACAAATAGCCCTTGGAAAAATACAACCAAAAGGAGTTTTGGCTAAAATCCATGGACCTCAATTCTTTTGCCTTGGTGGGTGATTGGATTTATCAAAACATAGCCTTGATGAACTCCTGTAAAAGCAGGAAGGGAGGGAGAGGCTTTTAGGCCACAGCCTGCTCTTCTTCCCCAGCACGATTTTGGGGAGACACTGCCCGAACTCGATTTATTTGTTCTGGTGATGGGGCTAAGCCTCTCCCATGTGAAATTTCACTTTTCAATGAAAACTTACTCCGGGAGGAGCATCGCCAGTATATTTCTCGTGTGACTCATAAGCACAAAACCCAAAAGTCAATAGTAAAGAGTTTATTTGATGGAGGTTTTCTTCTAATTAAGAGGTCATTAAGAGGATCCGACCGTTACTCAGCGCTGAGACGAAGGTCCCCAGCAGCTGCTCCAGCCCGGGAGATGTGCCGGCCAGCACATTTTCCAGAAACATGTTTCCTCTCTCGCCAGCGGCCCCTTCCCCCTCCCCGTCACCCCGTTTTTAGTCTCTCCAGTGCTGATGAGCTAATAGCATTTTTCCTTTGCATACTTTGGCGCTGCCCCACGGCATACTCTGGCAGCCTACGTGTGTCTGAGCGCGCCCGCCCGCCGCAGGCTCGGCTCGGCACGGCTCGGCGCGGCTCGGGGAGCAAGGGCAGACGGGCAGAGAGGGAGGGGGGAAGTAGGCAAGGAGGGGGGGAGGCATGCAGGGAGGGAGGATGGGGAGCCCCCGCCGGCACGCCGGCCCGAGCCGCCTCGTTCCCCCTGGGCCGCCCCCGCACGGGGCGGGCGGGCGGGGGGCTGCCTTGCGGGGAACTGTCAGGGCCGCACGTTTCCAGCCGCATTACGTGAACAAATGGCGGGGGCGCAGCCAGCCCAGCCAGCGGGGCTTGTGTAACTTTGCGAGCGTGCCAGCAAGTTTAAAGTCCCTGGTCTCTCCTCCTCCTCCTCCTTCTTCTCCTCCTCCTCCTCCTCCTCCTCCTCCTCCTCCTCCTCCTCCTTCCCTCGCTCAAGACACCAGCGCGAGCCGAAGGACGATGAGAGGCTGATTGTTTGCTCCGGCTCCCATTCGCATCCCCTCGCCTATAAATACCGAGGAGAAGAAAAGCCGCTCCCGCCGCTTCCCCAGGGCCGCTTTTCCTTTCCGACGGCCCGACCTGCCCGATGGCACCGCCCGGGTGCAGCAGCGCCTGAGACCCCGCTGCCCGCCTGACCCTTCCAGACGTGCAGCCCGCACTCCCAGTCCTCCCGCACCACCCCGCCCCATCCCCAGCAGGAAACGAGCCCCTCTCTCTCCGCTTAGCCCCCTCCCCCCCGGTTTCTCCCGTAACTCTCTTCCCGCCGGCGCCCAGGAAAGAGGAGAAGATGCGACTCGCGCCGCCGGGTCTCCTGTTCGCCCAGCTCCTCGCGTGCATCTACTGGAGCTGCCTGTGGCCCGCCGGCTGCCAGCAACAGCAGCCGCTGCGCCGGGATCCCCCGCCGCCCCCCGCCGGCTGGAGGCAGCGGATCCAGTGGGAGAACAACGGGCAGGTGTACAGCCTGCTCAGCCTGGGGTCCCAGTACCAGCCCCCGCGGCGCAGGCAGGCGGCGGAGGCGGCGGGCAGCCCCATCCTGCTGCTGCGGAACAACGGGACGGCGCTGCCCCGCAGAGCCGCCACCCGCGCCGCCGCCGCGCAGCCACAGCCCCCGCCCGCCGCCGGCACCCGGGGCGGCTCCGGTGCTCGGCACTGGTTCCAGGCCGGCTACCAGCCTTCCTCCGGGGGCCGCGCCGCCGCCGGGCAGCGGAGCCAAGCGTCCGCCACCCCCGCGGCCAGGAGCGCCTCCTCTGGGGCGCCGCGACCCAGCGACCCCGCCAGCCCCGCCACCGACGGCAACGGGAGCAGCACCGGGGCCGGGGGGCTGCCGCCCCTCGGCAGCTTCAGGCCCGGGCGGGAAGATGTCATGGTAGGAGACGACCCCTACAACCCCTACAAGTACACGGACGATAACCCCTACTACAACTATTACGACACCTACGAGAGGCCCCGCCAGGGCAGTAGATACAGACCCGGCTACGGCACCGGCTACTTCCAGTACGGTAAGAGCCCTCCTTCCCGCCCATCGCATCGCGTCCCGTCCCGTCCCTCCCTGCCCCGCCACGCCGCGCCGCCTCGCTCGGTCCTGCGCCCGCCAGTGCCGGCGGGATGCGCTGCGGGGCTCATCGGCCCTGCCACCCCCTCTCTCGGGGCAAAACCCGACCGGGCCGGCGATCGCCCGGCTCCCGGCCCGCCGGAATCCCGGCGGAAAGCCCTGCGGGCATCCCGGAGGCCGCGGTTCTCGCGGGGAGCTGCGGAGGGCACGTCGATAAGCCCACCGCGGGATTCTGGGCGTCGTGCTTGCAGTGTGGTCTTTGGGAAAAGACGAAGAGCCTGAACAAAGGGGAGGAGAGCGAGATTAACGGAGGGCAGGGGTCCGTAACAAAACGACCACTCCTAACGATTGGGATGGTAGCCAAATATCTGCAAACGTGTCCTGGGTTGATCTTGCTGTTATGTGGTTGGTTTGATGAACTGCAGGTCTCCCTGACTTAGTCCCGGATCCCTATTACATCCAGGCGTCCACATATGTCCAGAGGATGTCCATGTATAACTTGAGATGTGCTGCCGAGGAGAACTGCTTGGCAAGGTAGGCATCACCCCAGGCTTTTGCCCGTCCACTGTGAGTTCTTGTGCTCCTGTGTCCACTGTGGAGTACCTGTGAACATGGTGAAGAGTGGAGGCCCAAGTAAACACAACCCAGTTTGAAACCTTCTTCCAAGCTTGTGGCAGATGGTGGGGTATGCACATCAGAAAGCAATACAGCCATACTAGAGAGACAAGCTACAGATCTTTTGAAGAACCTACACGTTGTGAAAAGTTATACTATGTATTTCTATTGTTAGGCTCATTTGAACATATCTGAATTTTGTGAAATGGAGGCACCTAAAAAAACTATTTGAATCTGGTGATTTGAATCTCAGTTCATCTTCCTTTTCTAATCCCTTAAGATCATATGCAACTCCACTAAAAAAAAGACAAAACAAAACCCTATTCTTTACCAGCACAAATTAATAATAAAAGTATAACAAGCTAATTGTTTTTCTTCCTATTCCTTATAATGTCTCTTAAAACTGAAATCTCCCTGAAAAGTGTTTCAAAGTCTCTTAAGGGGTTGAAATAACAGCTTTGCTATGAAGTTTGGTCTTGTCCAGTTGGCAGAGAGGGATTTTTCCTGTTTTGTTTGGAAAGAAATCAACATAGCTGTTTGTAACGATTTTAACTTGTTTGATACCTTATCATTTAAAACAGATTTATGTATTTACCAGCATCGTTAATTGATATCAGACTGTTTTCAGGGTCATGCTCTTTGTTCACTTGCTGGAAAAAGAAAACATGACATAGGAAGCAGTATTTGTATTCTAGATTCACAGTGAATACCAGTTGAAATGTTCTTGCTGGCTATCAGTTGATTAAAATATTCCAGTATTTAAAAGACTGTAGATAATAGCCATGTGAAACAGGATAATATAGCCTGTTCATATATATATGTTTATATTTTTTACAACAGAATCAAAGAACTATTGTGTGATCTTACATACACAGGGAGTTATTTTTGTTAACAGCAACTAATGAAATTGTAATTTTGATACCAGAGTAATTTTGCAGCCTAGCAGTGATCTGCTTTATAGATGGAGTCAGTCAGTGGTCAAACTTCCATTTAGAATACTAGAAGTAGATCTGAATTTTACTCAGGTGTTAGTCTGACATCAGGCATTTCCACACTATATGGAATTCCTGTGAACCTCCAACACATGAAGTTTAAGGGGGCTGAAAAGATCTCTGCTGTCAGTTACTTCTGAGACAATATAAAGTATTTTTTTAAAGTGTTTCTTGCATATACTTACAATTTTTTTTCTTTTTTTCTCATTATTGCAGTTCAGCTTATCGAGCAGATGTTAGAGATTATGACAATCGGGTGCTCCTGAGATTCCCCCAAAGAGTGAAAAATCAAGGCACATCAGATTTCCTGCCCAGCAGACCCCGTTATTCATGGGAGTGGCACAGCTGTCACCAGTGAGTAAACTGCTCAGTATGAAATCTTCTAACTGTTTTCCACTAACAAATTGTCACTTACAAGGTGATGTTTTCTAGAACAGCAGTGAAGCAGAGAGAAGCCATGACGAAACTTTAGCCTTTTACTGTCTAATACATTTTATGTAGTGGTAATTACTCTTTTTACAGACACATGAAACCAAAATGGATATAAAGCTTATCTACATGTAGGAAATACGTACAAAGTCTAAATTATTTATAAATACGAGTCTCAAACCAGTTTTGATGTATAGTCCAGTTATATAAGCGTAACCAGTAAATAAAAGCCCCAATCATGTTAAAATAAATGGAAACCCTAAAACATACATCTACTAGCATGTTCCCTAGGATACACCATTGTAAACAGTGACCCATACCTCTTGACCTGAATTTCATGAGTTAGTTCTTGACAAGGAATGCTCTGATCAATATGGAATTGAAAAGCTACTGAGCTGATTGATCCTATTATCAATAATGTCCTTATCACATGATGATACTTTGACACAGCAGCAAAGCTCTAGAAATACCATAATTGCTGGAAACATGGAAAGGCAAATGAAGTAGGACATTTTTAACATTTTAGGAGCAAGTAACACTGCAAACTTGTATCTTTTCAGAAAAATCACATTCCACAGTTTTCAGGTTTGTTTTATTTATTGCTATTTCACAGCAGAACCAGTTGTAAAATGCTAGAACTACTTACTCAGAATAGTTACTTCCACCTTATTTAAAATATAACTCTGCTGCTACAGGTACATAAATGATAACTTAATACTATTCTTTTAATAAAATGGTATCCAGTGGGGGCTTGATCTGAAGGCCTCTGAGCCTTCAGAGGCTTTAAGCACTGATTGAAAAATCAGTATCGTTAGAACAAATTCTTTCAAAAAAAGACTAGTATTACCGGTTTATGAATCTTGTAAACATAAAAAAACCTAAAAATAAATCAAACCAACCAACAAAGCCTCCACAAATTAGTTAACCCCCATTCCTGAAAAAAACTTAATCACCAATAACAAAAATATCCCAACCCTAGTGCTTAAAAAGCTGATAAATAGATGAAATTGAGTGAGCAATTGAAATTTTCCATTTGTAGAGTAGCAGTTTCTTCCTCTGCCACAACAGCCAAGCTATTGCTGTCCAGATGTAAAGTGTCTCTGATGTTGATTCAGTTCTTGCCACAGAAAAATGCATCTCTTGTGATCATTTCCATAACAGCGAAACAAGCTCATTTGGAAATGAAGTACAACTGCCAATTAGTTTGGCTAGCCATCAGACTTCAGTGTTAGTCATCATCATCTGTGGACTGGTTTTAGTGTTCTTGGTGCTTTAGTGTTCTCACATGCTTGTGAGACCTGTGTGCTGTTTTTTTTCACCAATACATTTGAATTCTGCTTAATTAAACCATTTTCATATACCTCTTGAGCTGAAGGCATTTGTAAGTAACAGCAGTCAAAGATATAGTGCAGGTAGATAAAACAAGTGTAGTTTATAAAAGTGGAATTACAAGAATAATAGGTGTTGAACTCTACAGTAAGAGCCTGAACTCAATTAGTGTGAGAGCAAGAAAAATGCATCACTTTGTCCATATCAAAAGTGTACACGCTGTTGAAATAGAGACAACATTAAGTACAGACAGCAAAAAGAGCTGACATGGAATGAAATCTGCATTGCCATTACACAGAAGCTGACTTCTTTATGCACATTTTGTTTTCACCAATGTTATGGATGTGTTACATTAAGGGCCATCAAAATGTGAAAGCAAATTCTTGGGGTTTTGCTAGCAAGTAGCAAACTTCCCTGGAATTTACAGTATGTAAGGTAAGCATTCCTAGTGAAATTCTGGCTAAAGGCAGTTATAAGATGTACAATTCAAATATGAACTACTTAATACTTGCTATTGTTATTGGAAAAGAGCTGAAACAGGAAATTTTGGAAAAACAGTGCTGCTATGGAATCTTTCCCATAGCAAATTAAAATCTATTATTTATTTACAGAAGATGGCATGTAGTAATTGAAAATCAGAGTAATAAAAATAATTGAGTAGCCATTAACAGGAAAGTATAATTACACACAGATTTTGTTTAACAAAAAAAATTTGGCCACATTTAACAGGAGGTAGATCAAACAGGAATATGTGAAAATGTTAATGATAAGATCTGATCCATCTCTAATAGTGTATCTGTGGTTTAACAGACATTATCACAGTATGGATGAATTCAGCCACTATGACTTGTTGGATGCGAGCTCACACAGAAAAGTTGCTGAAGGACACAAAGCAAGTTTCTGTCTCGAAGATACCTCCTGTGATTATGGATATTACAGGCGGTATGCATGTACAGCACACACGCAGGTAAGAGTTGGTTTGGAGACAAACAAGGCTTTTTCCCCCCTCTAGTCTATATTTGGGTAACTTTTCTGCCAATCATCTGATGTCCTAAATTAACTGATGACCTAATTAACTTCTGAAATTCCTCTGTCAGAGGCCAGGATACCATCTTGGAGACGTATAATTTACCCAGTAAATTCTCAGTAGAATTCTCAGTAGAATGCAGTGACACTCATTAGCTTAACACCACTGGTAAATGAACTCTAATAAAACACACCACAAGTTCTCATGGCTGTAGGACTGATCAAGCGAGCTAAAGGGAACCCAAGACAGCCAGTAGAGAAGTTGTTTCCAGTGTTCATCCCCCCACAACTGCTCAGTTATATTCTTGGCTGGTTCCAGAGTTCAGAGGTAGTATTTTCACCTTTGCAGAGTCTGAAGCTGTAAGGTTCTGGATTCCCTTAATACCTATTGCTACTGGCTGGGAGTCTGACACAGAAATCATATAGCATTATTTTATGCCTGTTTTTAAGGCATAAAAGATATAAAGAGAATGGCAGCCATGTGAATTATGATGGGTCATGTAAAAATGTAAAGCCAGGCGCTAGGGCTTATTAAAGGAACAGATGAAAAATTGAATATAACATTATGATAAAGAAATCCATGAAAGACTCCTACCTTGAATATTGTGTCACCACCTCTCAAAACAGCTACAGAAAAGCTTAAAAAATCCAAACCAGCCAACCCCAGGAGAGCAAGAATGATCAGCAATGTAGTATGGCTAAAAGATTTCATGACTATTCCATTTGGAAACTCAGGAATAAGAATGAAACTTGAGTGGTCCTGGATTAAAAGAGGAAATTGTTGATATTTACTCTTTCTCACAATACAAGAACTTAAGACCTGGTAGACAATAGCTTTAAAACAGAGAGGAGGGTCTTTTGACACATGAATGAAGTATTAAATGCCTTGCCATAGGATGTTGCAGAGATCAAAAATATTTACATGTGTTCAAGAAAAATTCAGACAAAGTAATGATTGCTAATAAACATGCACAAAAAATCTGATGGTACCCCATGTCTTAAATACAGTTAAATGCCTGGTGCAAGGAACTTGCCTGACATTACACATCCCATTTCTTAGGTTCTTTTGTCCTCAGGCATCTGCTGCTGACCTTTGTCAGAGACATGACACTGAGCTTGATGGATCTGTGGTTTAACTCAGTGTGGCCATACTTACATGCACATTTGTATCCCTTATTCTGCAGTTTTTAATCTAGGAGGTAGTTATTTTATCACAGAGAAATAACAGGTATGCTTCACTGGCTGACGTGTCCACATTCGAATTTTAACTATAATGAATGATTTGCTATACATAAAGACTTTGAAGAGGTTTTATAAATATCTTTTCTCCTTTGTAGACTATGACATCTAACATACATATTTTACAGCTGGAGTATTTGTGTCACTAGAATCATGGCTGTGTCAGCATTTCCACTGGAAGCCCATGTTTCAGGGGTTTGTAATTGGACTGTAAAACTTTCCTCCAGCCTCAGACTTGGCACATACATGCAAGAGTCTGAGCTGATCACCAGCTAGGTCAAGAGGGAATTTCTACAGGACTTGGGTTTTCTACACTCTGTGTGTTGCCAGAACAGATCAGCTTTGCCTAGGGCAATCTGTGTTGGACACAGTTAAAGACACCAGATTTGAACCACTGATACACACTGATAGTTAGGGACTCTTACTGATGCTCCTAACAACAAAGAATTTTTCAGAAAAGATCATCTGGAAGAAAGTCTACATTTTCAGTTCTCTCAGATTCTTGTGCCACTGTATGCCTGAAGAAACACCATTTCCATGCAAAACTCAATGTGAAAATAGCTCTTGAGTCTAATGTTCAAAGATGGCACTTTGGCAGAGTACCTCCATAGCAACAAGTTGCATCATTCGTAAGAGTAGGGAGAGGTCCCAGCATGCTGATTTGGTTTATACTCAAGGACCCCAGAAGTCACTTACTTGAGATCTACAGATACTTAGGTCCAGTTGTTGGTCAGTTTTTTTTGTATTCTCATCTTATGTAAAGAACAGGAAATAATAACAGCACTAATCTTTACATAAAAGGAGTACTGTAATAAGTGATAATAAAATACAGATATCTTATAGATAAACAACTGTAAATATTACAGATATTTCCTCTTCAGTAATAAAGTGCAGTCTATCAAAATGGTATTTTTGACTTGTATTCTAGATTAGATACACAGGTAAAATGCCAAGAAACAATAAGACTAATTTTCTGAGTTAATTTTCTTAGTGAAGTGTGATGGTTAAGAGAACTTCAGTCTGAGTGTCCCTAATGTCTAGAATGTTACTCTTCCTAATGATTAATCTTTTTTTTACATCCATCTTAACTTCATTTTTAAGGGTCTGAGCCCTGGCTGTTACGACACTTACAATGCTGACATAGATTGCCAGTGGATTGATATTACAGATGTAAAACCTGGAAATTACATTCTGAAGGTAAGTGTATTGGGAGTGGGGAGGTGTGGGTTTTTTTGTTTGCTTTTTAAAGAAGCGACTTATAAGCACACATCCTTCTGACTGCATGTGAGCAGCTGAAACCTGGAAATAGATAAACACTATGCTTTCTTTCCATAAGGTGAGTGTAAACCCCAGCTATTTGGTGCCTGAATCTGATTACTCCAACAATATAGTGCGCTGTGATATCCGCTATACAGGCCACCATGCATACGCCTCTGGCTGCACAATTTCACCGTAAGTACTTTTCTTTCTTTTCTGTCACTGTCAAAGATTCATGGTAGTGAAGTTGACAAACAGATTTGTAAAGCTTAGAGATTTACTTTATCTTGAAGAAAATAACTTCCACTATTAGTTTAACTGATAGCAATTTTTTCAGTATTTTGTTTCTTGTGTTTCAGGAACTTAAAAGTTTGTGGGAATTTTACTCTTGCACTTGTGCCATCAGAATATATAGCACTTTCAAAACTACTGCTACTGTCTGGGCTGCTAGATGACTACCTCTGGCTCACATCTTCTTAGTATTTGCATTAGAAACTTTCTGTGATCATTCAGTACCCATTTATGGTATCCACACAGAACTGTTCAGCATTTACAGAGCTCTTAAGACACTCTGTAAAATCCCACACATGTATGTTACTTTGCTGCTGCTGCTTACACAGCAGCCATCCTCCTGAAACAGTTCTTTCACACACACTCCATCTACTGTTTAGATCTTCAAAAGTTTAAAAAAGGTCAGCTCTTTAAAATTTTTCCTCCAAAACAGAAAATTCATTTAATAAATGACCTCATGGTAGATCTACTGTACCTTAGTATCTGTGAAATACGCGCACACACACAAAGCAGTCTCCTGTAACATAGAGGTAAGCAGTTCTCAGGATAATATATTAGTTGCTCCCACAAAATATTCATCAAGTGATTTAATTTGGATTGCATAAGGAGTGAGTATTAACATTTTTTAGAGGTTTATATGAAATAAATTCCAGAGCAGTAAATGAAAAGTAAAATAGTGTAGTCTTATGTAACAGCATCAGTGAAACAAATACAGTGAATTAATGTGACTAGTTTAATTAGCTTGTAAAATATTCATTCCTTTCTTTGCATTAGGAAATCAGTAGTTAAATGAGGCTAAAGGTAGGAATTTTTTTTCATGCCAGTGTGGAGATTTGTATTTGTAATCACCCTTTGACCATACTCGTGACAAGTAAAATGGCTTCAGCAAAGTCCTCTGTTCTTGCTGTGTGTTGGTCAGACTTCAGGAAAAGGATGAAAAAAGAGCAGGTGGTCTGCAGGTTGTGAGAGATTATTTTTGGTGGACCTGAGGCAGGAGCTTTTAAAGCATTTCTATGTAACAGGACTGATTTCTCCTTCTTGGAATACCGTGTCTGCTCACATTCATGTGGAAAGGAAACTTATGCTTCATACCTTTGACTTCTAGTCTCCCCATCTTACCTCTGAAAATGTTATGGAGTACACAGAGTAAAAGAATTATTAAGGTTGGAAAAGACCTTTAAGATCATCAAGTTCAACTTTCAACCTACAACCATCATGTTCACTATAAACCATATACTCAAGTGCCTTAATCATGTTTTTTTTGAACACTTCAAGTGATGATGACTACACCAATTTCCTGGGCAGTCTGTTCCAATGTTTTACAACCCTTTATGTGAGATATTTTTCCTAATATCTATTCTAAACTGCCCCTGACACAACGTGAGGCCATTTCCTCTTGTCCTGTGACTTGTTACCTGAGGGAAGAGACTGACCCCCGCCTCCCTACAGCCTCCATTCAGATAGTTTTAGAGAGCAGTAAGGTCTCCCTAAGTGTCCTTTTCTCCAGGATAAACAACCTTTTTCTCTCTTTCTCTCTCATATATATATATATTTAAAATATACATATATTCATGCAGGGTGAGGAAACAAAGTTTCTATTACTGTTTGCTGACCTGTGCCTTCAAGCTGACAAATGAGTACTCAGCAGATATTCTTTTTGTACCTGCTTGGTCACCTGCACAAAATTATTTCTTTTCTTTCAACAGATACTGAGAAAGGTGCAAGAAAATGGATGAGATGGTGCCAAATGTTTTGAACTGAAGTATCATTATATAAACTTCAATAGGATGCAAACAATATAGAAACAAAACTACAAAACATACATACATACACCCACACACCTTATGTGATTTTGAAGCACTCCAGCTGCTTCTCAACCAAAACTTAACTGGATTTTAAAAATTTAAATTGGCATTACTTGTATTACTATCGAAATGTGTGGAACTGGTGACTCATGCACAGATATTTTACATTTTGAAAATCTAACTCGTTCATAAAAACCTGACCATGTCTTAGCTCCTTGACATTTGGAGTTTAGATGATAATAGACTTCAGTGGTAATATAACTGGTGAATGAGTTGAACATATTTTAAAAGGTAGAAAAAAAGTATGCAAAATGAATCAAATAAAATGCAAGAGAAAGTACTAATGTCAGCTATCTCAGAAAATGCCACAATGAAAAACAGCTTAAGAGTAATGATACAGTACCATTAAAAATACTTGCTAGAACACATTGATATGAAGGAGAAAAGTATGTTCAGATTTCAAGGAATATTAACCTATAGCAGAGAAATACATATATATTATATATATCAGTTATACCCCTGCAAGAAAAGTTTTTACATTTTTAATACAGTAGAAGTTTTTCCATTTTTTTAAGTGAAAAACAGATGGGGTTTTGAAACACACCTTTCATCTGTGAAAATGAATTAAAAAACTTACCCACCTTTCTATGTTCAAGAGATTTTTCAAGGTGGGGCTTTTAAAAGACTTCCGCAGAATTAATGCGGATAAAAATAATACCTGTCAATAAATGGGCTCTCGGAGATGACGAAGAGTCCCTGATGTGGTCAAAATAATACTGGCAATTAACTCAGGTGGCACCACAACCAGAAGTAGGTAAGAATCTCTAATGAAGTATTTTGTTGTGAAAAAGCCTACTACCTGCTTCCCCCTTCAGTACTGTAGTTGACTTTAAAAATGTGTATCTCAGTATTCAAAATAACAAAGCTGAAAATATACTATATAGAGAGGGTGAAAGTCAGTGTATTAACATTCTACTTTAGGTTGTTCAGGAACCATTTGGAACATTGTTAAGGGGAAAAACTTCAAGCCCAAATTAATGTTTTTGCTGAACTGCTTAACTGGTGCTGGGTACACTACTCCTCCTCCTCCCATCCCAAAATATTTTGCTTTTGCAGTGCACCCTGCTGTAAGCTACAGTAGCTGTTATTTTTGTTTTAAACTGTGAAATGACATATCACAAGGGGATCTGGCATTTTTTTCAGAAGATTTCTGATCATGTAAAATGAAGGATCTACTTTTGAAACAATGGAACCTAGAAATATTGATTGGCATTGGTTTAATGTGATCAGTTCAAAACACCTAATGAAACATGGAAAGCTCAATATATTAAAAAATTTGAAAAATAGCTGTGCTATTGAAAATAGTTAAGAATTTAAAAATCTGAGGAGTATGGAGTATTTTTTGTTATCATTATATTATCACTAAGAAACTTCAGGCAGTATTTGGAAATATTTTATGCATTAGAACCCTATAGATTTAATTTGGATGTTTGATGAATTGCCATAATATCTTTTAAGGATTAGCTGTTCTTTAGTACATATATTTATTTCCTGATTATAAAGGAAGTTAATCATAACTTGGTTACAAATTTGCACAACTAGAACTTAAAAAGGACGTAAGAACCAGCAACCTGGTGATTACTACTCACCAGTGGGAGAGGGTGTAGAATGAATACCATTTATATCTGCAGTTCCCTTTTTGTTTGGTGCAAGATCCATTTTGGCAATCAGTAACCAGTACGGGCAACGAACAGAAGCAAAATTTGGAAACTTGATTTACTAGAAAGCCATGAGGGCATGTTTAAAGTCTAGGCTTCTGAAATCTCAGGCCAAAGAGTTTTTAAGAGGTGTTGAGGGATGCAAGCGCATTCACCTTTCTACAGACTTAGGTCAAAACTGGGGTGAAAGTCCTGGGAGCGGCTTGGGCAATGGACACAAAAGCTACTGAATGGAAGCTAGGCTGTGGGCACGGGCTGCTTCCTGGCAAGAGGTTGTGTGCTCGTACCTCATTGTGCCTGATGCTGAATGTGGGATATGAGAGCACTAACTGGAAACAGAGCAGCCGCAGGAAGCGAGGTTATCCCCTGGCTAACAGACAGGAACCTCCTCACATGTCTGTACCCAAGCTACTTGCAGAACTCCACTGAAGTCAGCAAGCAGACAGAAGGCCTTGAGCATCTGTGTAGGTGGAGCAAGTGGGAATGGCCTGGTTCAGAAAGGTGTTGAACGCTGTAACTTTGAATCTTGGGGATATTGTAGCTACAAAAATGTAGCTTTTTTTTCCGTAGCAAAATATTGTATTTGTTTTGAAATGTGTGTTAAGCAACATTACATAGCACAAAAACTGCCTAAGATAACATGAACAGTCTATTCAGAAAAACAAGGGATTTTAGGATTAAAAAAAAAAAAAAAGGAATGTGACTTTAACTCTGTCTATGGTAAATCACAACTCAATAGAAGAGTTTATTATATAGTGTGTGTGGAAGTAGTTCTAAATAGGGGAGCGCCAACCAGTATTTTTAGTATCTTGGCTCTGCAGATTTGACCCAGACACCTTAACTTCCTTTTTTCATACTGGAAAATATTTATGCATTTATGTGCATTTTTGTTGAAAAAAAACATTTATAAAACTGTTTTGATGGAAGCTTTTATTTTTACAGCAAATTATATTTGGATTCCATTTTACAAGACATGGGGTTCCTTCCCATTATCTTTGAAAGGCATCTTGTCATTGGCCTCAGTGGGAAAAAAATCAGATTTAAAATTTTGTGAGATTTTTAGTACAAATGTGCTGTCTTGCAGTCTCAAATTTCTTCTGAAAAGCCAGACTGTAAAAATGTGTGTGAAGCAATTACCTCCCACATTTCAAATCTTTACATAAAAATTGCACATAAGGAATACGTTGTAGGTCAGGTTCATTACAGGAGGGGTTTGTTATATATTTTTTTTTTTTAATCCTGAAATACATTTGATATTTGCATATTTCTAGACAAAAGTGTAACAAAAATGACAGACTGGTCACCAATGGAAGCAATATATTGTGTAGATTGTGTTTTTGTGTTACTAAAGTCTACTCATTTCCTCTGTGCTCCAGAGTTTACTGTGCAGTGTCGAATGAGTGCAAACACCAAAAGTACCTTCTTATAGTCATTCATGCATTGTTTGCAGTGTGCTCATTCAAAACCAGCAAGGTGAGTTTTCATAAATGAGACATTGAAAGGTGGTTTATCCTGTGTCTCACATTTATGCCAACAAGGCATTTTCATTTTCTCCAAATCCTAAAAGGTGCTGAAAGATTTTTAACTTGAATTAAAACCAAAGAGTATGTTATTGGGAGGTTTTTATTATGCAACTAATGCTACAGATACAGTGAAATGCCACTTGTTTTTGCAACTTTTTAGAAGGTTTTTTTGTTATTTCCTTCACCTTTCTTCCAAGAGTCTTAATTTCAGTAACTTTGCATCTTTATCTGAAGAGCTCTAATTTATAATATTCAGGCACTAGCTTTGTATTCTTCATTGCACTTTCATATTCTTGTGTTACATGCCCATATTATGGTTGCAAGTTTATGTGAAAATGACTTGAATAAAAATGTTTCAAGCGTTCTACTTGTCAAAGTATTATACTTACTGTATAGGCCAGACCCATCTCTCTATGAGATTTAAGGTTGTTATATCTACTGGAAAATGAGGAAGATTTTGTCATGCTGACATGATCTCAGAAGAAAAGTCAGAAGTTAGAAACAAGAAAGAAAAATTTGCAAGGCGTGATAAATTACCCCTCACACTACACAAAGGATTAACATGTGAAGGCTAAACAGGACAAGGCGTTTGATTCATCTGGATACAGGATTTCTGTACCATATTGTCTGCCTCTGTAAATGCAGGAACTCAGAGATCAGTTTCAGAATTTCTGCTCCAAACATTGTACTTTCATGGGAAGAACATTTGAACAGTACATAGTAGAAAGTCTACGTACTCTAGAAAATTGACTAACACATTAAATAGGCAATTACTCCAAAAACAATTTTATCCTATTATTTATATTCTCTGAGTACAGACTGGTGTCCTACTGCCTCTTCACTCTGTATGCTAAACTGATGAAATGGTCTGAGTTGTGAAGCATCTCTTGTCCCTTCACTGAGGGACTAATACAGAAGAGCATGGTTAAAAACTTTGGATAGTTGCTCTAGTAAGAGGTTGTTAAACACTTTAATGGCACTCTTGGTTTCAAGTAAATGGAGACAAAACCAATGTAATATCTTTTAAGATTCATAAAATAAATGCAGAAATATTTCAGATATGAAGTACTTTGTGTAATGCTTCTATAATTTATTTAACAAAATTGTTCCTATTCTACTATTTACTAGAGCTGAGAGCTTCAAACTGAGAATTTCTCCAAGTACTATCCCTAGAGCACAGAATTTGATATGGATCAAAGTCTGTGCAAATACAAAAATGCAGTAAAAAATGCATACAATAACTGCAGAAAGTACGTTCAAATCTGCTGAAAATAAAGCATGTCCTAGTTCCCAAGTATCTTCTACAGACTATTCTACTATCGCATTTTCACATTAGCTCACCTGTCCAGTATAACAAAATTGTCTATCACCAGTACACATTTACAAAGCAGCTCAACACATTTGGTTAAGAAAGTATAGCTGTAACTGAATTTTCACTCAAGCCTTCTTTCTCCTGATCTAATCATTCCATAAAAACTGATGTAAGAAATATGCCTGTTCAGAAGGCATATCAGAAGCCTTCAAGCTGCTGCTATCAACAGTACACCTGTTTGTTTTGTTTTGGCTTTTTTTTTAAACCACATTTAAACTAGTAATGACTGTCTTAAAAGACACTGAAAAATCTGAGATTGTTTTGCTGGTAACTCTAAAGGGAAAAACTATGCACCTAAAGCAGCCTGTAGTATCCAACAGTAGGCACCTGGCTAAAGGCATTTCTTCTATGGTATGGTATGGAGCTGGAAAGCACAGTTCAACATTTCTAAATCTAATCATCACAGAATGAAATAACTTCCCACATCACTATAATTGTTAGTACTTTGTGAGAAGTCTCTGTCTAAACAGTACTGCAAAACGAGTTGTGTTAAAGTCATGTATATATACACTCAACCTGTTATGTTGTTATAATGAAAAGAAAATGTTCTAAACTTTATCAACAACCTCCAGGCAAGTTCACTGGGCACAAATAAATTGCTCAGTTCCATGTAAAAAACATTATCAAATCTCCACTATCACTACTTTGTATAGTGTATTAAGGCTGTGATCCAGGTGAGTCATTAAGTACCAGCTAAAAGTCCTAGTAACCCATTAAAATATGAAGCGATGCCAATAACCTAATCTCTCTTCTCATTCACATTTAGTGTATGTTATCTTTCTTCTTTTCTTTAAAGAGCTCAGAAGTATTTCTGAAGACAAAAAAAAAAAAAAAAAAAAAGAGATGTTTTTATAAGTCAGACTTCCTTCAGGAAGAATTCTGTGGCCACAAATTACAGCTGTAATAATGCAGTAAGAAACTTGCTCAAATGCCAAGATAAACTAATGCTCCTAGATCTCTAAGCACATGCAAAAAAGCATTTTAGAACATAAGCTTCTTAGCCTCTTGGAGTTTTTTCAAACTGCAATCCTTAACTTTTTGATCTTTAGTGTGAATAACTCTTAAAATAGGGACCATCTGCTAAAAGAAAGGTAAGCTGTCCATGAAGAACCATGTTATAGCTGAAAACATCTACCAAAAGTAATTCTACTTTGC